ATAAATAAATAAAATCTTAAAAAAAAAAAGAGGGGGGGTGAGGGACAAGGCCAGGGAGCTAGCTGGAAGATCATGTGCATGTGGGCATGTGGGCATGTGGGCATGTGGGCATGCAGGACTTGGGCTAATATTCTTGGTGGCTGGGGACTGAGGCAGTCAGGGAGACCTTCCAGGAGGAGGCAGAGACATGTGTTAGGACGTTTAGGACGCTGAGGCAAGTGGGACTCTGACGGCTAAAGATGGCAAGAAAGGCAGTACCATCTGATGATTAGAAACTCCCCCTCTGGAACCAGACCCGGGTTCGAGTCCCAGATTGATCAGTTGTTCCCTACGAGACCTTGGGCAAGTTCCTTACCTCTCTGAACGGGTTTCCTCCTCAGTAAAATGTCAATAATACTAGTCTCCACCTCCCACAGAGGTTGACAGGAGGAAACGGGGCAGCACAGAGCCTGGCCCACAGCGCATGCCTCGCATGTGTTTGCTGATGTCTTTCTGGGAAGGAGCACGTTCCTAGCAGTGCCCTTAACAGAGTCACCAGGCCAGCTCCCCTTTCCTCTTCCCTTCCCAGTGGCCCCCCCCCCAGCCCTCCAAGCCCAGTTTGGTTGAGATACCAGGTGAGTACCTGCCAGGGGCTGGGGTCTTCCTTGGAAGGGATCCAGAGTCTCATTATCTACAGCCTCTTCCTCTTCTCCCGGGTGTTTGCATATGCTGTCCCCATTCCCTGGGGCACTCTTTCCCTCGCATGCCGGTCACCTGATTCCTTCCTAGTTGGATCTCAGCCTAAAGGTCACTTACCCCGGGGAAAACATCCCTGCACCCACCCTGCTCTTGAACCTTTATCTCTTAGCTCTTATCAGAGTCTGGAGTACTGTCTGTCCCTGCCTCAAGACCGAGAGACCGTATAGGTCTTGCTCACTGTTATGTCCTTGGCACAAAGGAGGCGCTCAATTCCTAATCATCAGCAAAATCCAGCAGCCTCAGCTCCAAATGGCCCAGTCCGATCCCCTGGCCGTTATACGTCAGGGTCTCCGAGGCCCAGAGAAGGTAGGAGACCTGCCCACGGTGCACAGCAGTGCTCCCGCCCCTGGTCCAGGGGCCCACTGAACAGCCCACCTCCTCGGCCCCCAGGCCCCCAGGGTTTCACCTGCCACCTTCCTGGATTCCTAGCGAGGTAGCTCAGAGAGGGAGCCCCAGGCCGAAGCACGTTTAATTTTCATCTAGGAACTGGTTAAGGCTGCAGGCCTGCTCAGCTCTGGGCTGTCAATCAGCCTTCCTCAAGGCTGCATCAATTAGTTTAAAAATATTGAATGCAATTTTGCCTGACACAACATATTGCAGCTACTGCAAAATATAATTTATTTTAGAAGAAGAAATAATTAAACTAATTTGCATGTCAGTCAGCTGAACTGAGATGCCAAGAGGGGGGTGGGGACCCATGAGGAACCCAGCCCTGGGAGAGGGCACCTGCTGCTGGGCTTTGGGGAAGGGCCACTTGGACCTGGGTCCGAGCAGTAGCTGGTGCTAGATGGACAGATACCCAGGCAGCAGGAGGGCCTACTGGCCTTGGATCTAGACCAAGCACTGGCCGTAGAGGCAGGAGACCCAGGACCCAACCCGGCTCTGTGCTGACTCCCTTATGGCTCTGGGCGAGGTCCTGGCCCTCTCTGGGCCTCAGTTTTCTCATCTACAAAATGGGTTTAACAAGACCTCCTTTACAGGTTGTTTTGAGAATCAAATGAGGTCATAGATAAGAAAGTTTGTTATTGATTGGAAAGTCCTGCGCAGGGTGAAGATTAATTAATTGATGGAGTCTTTGTTTTATCCCAGAAACATTTAAGACGGTAAACTTATGAATTAATTATTAACAGTGATCACAAATGTGGCTAACTGTGATCAGGAGGGGTTTAAAGGAAGTCCACCGGAAGTAAGATAACAGGTTGGACTCCCCCACCTGCCAGTGGTTGGCAATCCCCCGCCACATATTAGATTCCTACAGCCATTAAAAAACCTCAGTGACCACGCCTTGGGCATCACTGTGTTTCAAAGCCTTCCCAGGTGATTCTAACGTGCAGCCAGGCTGGAGGCCACTGCGATGTCATGGGCACACAGGCCAGCCCCAAATCCAGGGGTCCCTGGGATCAGTTCTGCCGGTGGTAACTTGGCAACATAGAGGCACACCCCTTCCCTGCTCACTCAGCTGCCCCACCTCCGAGACCTGGGATCCACAGCCATGCCAAAGGGTTCAGGGCTTTCCCAGGAGGTGACCTGTAGCATTTTTAAAAAGGAGGTAAGAGGGGTGCCTGGGTGGCTCAGTCGGTGAAGCGTCTGGCTCTTGGTTTCAGCTCAGGTCATGATCTCAGGGTCATGAGATCGAGCCCCACGTCGGACTCTGCACTGGGCGAGGAGCCTGCTTCAGTCTCTCTCTCCCTCTCCCTCGGCCCCACCCCTCCTCGAAAAAAATAAAATAAAATAATAAAAGAGGAGGCAGGACAACAACGAAAAGGTAATTATGTGAGGTGAAGGATGTGTTAGCTAACCTGATTGTGGGAAACATCCCACAACATATATGTGTATAAAATCATTACATTGCACACCTTATATCACGTTGTCAATCCTATCTCAATAAAGCTAGAAATTAAAAAAAAAAAAAAAAAAGAGCAGCTAGAAGAGGCCCAGCAGATTGTAAAGGAATGGCTCAATAGTGGGGGTCTCGCCAGTAGTGGACCCGGCCCCCCTGCAGCATGTCCCCCTCAGAGGAGCTGGCCCTGCTCTGGGGTCGCCCTTTTGCATGGCGCCTAGGCCCCTGCGCCCCCTCCCTCTGCCTCGGCGGGGAGAGAGGTGCCTGGTCCTGGCAGCGGGCCTCACCCTCCCCACCTCCCCTCCTCCCAAACACACCCACCTTCTGTCTGTTTAAGTTCTTCAGCAACACACTTTTAAAAATAACGGCTTGCCCGGCATTCCCAGTCACGACTCCGATCTCCCGCCCCCAGAAAAGCCCCCTCTAATCACTGAAGCGGCAGATCTGGGTGAGCTGAGAAGATAAGGTGCCCCTGGCTAAGGGGAGCTCCAGAGAGGGGTTGGGGGTCTGCGTTAATTAAGGACTCGCCCCCCTCCCATCCCTGACCCCAGGAGGTGGCTCCACCTGCCCCCGGATCCCATGTCTCCTTATCAACACACACGCAGCTGCAGGCCACGGCGGCCCTGATCAGAGAAAGAGGCAGCCCACCAGCCCCACTCCCCCCAGAACTCATGGGGTTCCTGGCTGCTTGGAAGCTTCCAGGCTGCCCCCAAAAGAGCTCCCTGTCCGCCAGGTTAGATGCCTAGCCACCCTGCTTGGAAGGGGGTGGCTTCCTCTCCCGGCCCTTGAGGTTGCTGGTGGATAGAACTTGTCGGTAACGAGCTCATGACTAAGATAGCTGAGAGCAGGGCACCAATGAGCACCCAAGAGGTCCAGGGGACAAGGGACAGAAAAGGCCAACATTCCAGGTACTGCTCAGAGAGGGCAGGCTGGGACAAGCTATCCTTCAATCACTTGATGTCATTGCTGAAAGGACACTTCAAGGATGTCTGTTTATTTAACAAATCCTTATATAGCACTTGTTATGTGTTATATACACAGTTTAAAAAAAATGCTTCCCAGATAGGAGCTCAATCTTTCCTCTTAACCAACCCATTACTAGTAGCTCCATGTTGCCGGTGAGAAAACAGAGGCACCCAGAGGCCAAGTAACCTGGCATAGACCACACAGCTACTAAGTGGCAGAGCTGAGATCAGAACAACTTGCCTCGGAGACTTTACTCTTAATCACTGTGCTCCGTTCATTTTCCAAATGTGGAAAGGGATATTAGGGAGGGAGGACCAAACACTGGGTCAAGGACAGAGCCATGCCTGGAACGCAAGCCTCTTTCCGTCCATGTTCTTCCAGGCTTCATTCACTCGTTCAACAGATGTATTAGAACTTACTCTGTGCCGTATCCCATGATGCTGGAACCTGGGGGTCAACACATCAGGGACCTTGACCTCAAAGACATCACAGGTGGGGGTGTCATGGCTTTGCTGAAGACCCTGGCCAAGACCCACATCCAGTGGCCTTGTCTTGCCCTCTCAGAATCAGGTCTTAAAAGAGCAGAGGTTTGAGAGCCTACTTGCCAACTGACCAGTTCTTTAAAGTTTCTCACGCTTTGTTTCTCTTCTGCAATGTGGAGATAGAAATTGACCCAAGCACAGGATTTCCACATGGATACCTGAAATGATGGATGTGGATGCTCCGGGTGCGTTCTGCGCCCTTGATGGTGATGGGATGTCGAGAATGGGATGTTGGTTGACGGCAGTGGTGATGATCGTGTTGCCAGAGGTGGGAGCGGCGGTAGCTGTGTGATGGTGACGTGGGTGTTTATGGGGGTGGGTAACGGTAGTAAGGGCGGGGCTGGTAATGGTGTTTGTGGTAGAGAGAGTGACCGCATGGGTCACCGGTGGTGGTAAGGGCGCTGATTAGGGATGGCCTTGGTGTTCGTGATAATAGAGTTGAGGACGGTGGTGCCTTAGGTAGGGCAGTGGGGACACCATCATTCCGATGGCAATGGTCTAATGGCGAAGCCAGCAGGTTGGTGACTGCGAGAGTGGTGGGATTGGAGATGGTGGTACTGGTGGTCATGTTGGTACAAGGACAATGCTAATGAGGGCAGTGGAAACAGGACTGGTGACGGTGATGGCGAAAGTAGTGGTGGGGATGGTGTTGACGACGGTGCCAGGTGGCACTGGGGGTGATGGTGGTGGAGGCAGTGGTGGTCATGCAGGGATGGTGGTGGTGACGGTGACAGCAGTGATGGTGGTGACCCCGTCATGCCCGCTGTCCTCAGTGCTGATCCTGTTCCCTGCCGGGTCAACCCACAGATCTCTCAGTGTGACCCTGCTGCCTCGCCTTGTCCTCATGGCAGATGGGGGGTTGTCTAGGTCTCACACTTGATGCTGCTCACCCCGTTCCTGTGCTCTCACTGCAGACAATCATGCCCAGCTCTCCCGGGCATCCCTAAGGATCCGAATCCTGGATGTGAACGACAATCCCCCAGAGCTGGCCACTCCCTACGAGGCAGCCGTGTGTGAGGACGCGAAGCCAGGACAGGTACGTGGAGGGGCTGGGGCCTGGGGGTTCTTGGGACTGGCTGGGACACCCTCTACCCAGGTCCAGTGTGGACTAGGCCTCACATCATCTCCCTGCCCCATCCTCCCCCTTCAGCTGATCCAGACCATCAGCGTGGTGGACAGAGATGAGCCTCAGGGTGGGCACCGCTTTTATTTCCGCCTGGTGCCCGAAGCTCCCAGCAACCCTCACTTCTCCCTGCTTGATATCCAAGGTGAGTTACCTCTGAACCACCAAATCCTAGGATGCACGAGGGAGGGGCCTAGCCTCCCCCTCTCCCCTTCCCGTATTACCAGTGGAGAGACTGAGGCACCCAGAGAGCCAGTGTTGGGTCCAAGATCACACAGAAAATCTGGGTCAAGCTAGAGCTGTTCCCCAGCCCACTGGCCAAACCCTGAAGAACAAGCCGGGGGCGGGTGGGCGGAGTGGAGAGGGGGCACCCCAAGAGAAGAGAATGGAAAGATACAGGGAGGGAACAGATGAGGAGTAGGTGGGCCAGAGTCCTGGATGGAAAGAGCCCCCTGGTCTAACTGAAGATTGAAATAAGTCACGTGCGCACACTCCCACCCTTCAGTTTAAAAAGCGCTGTATTCCACTCATGTTTCCCTTTGCATCCTCACGGCCACCCTAGGGGGTGGTTTCCTTACCCCTCCCCCTATTTTACGCGTGATAAAACGGAGACTCTAGGAGGAAAGGGACCCACCCAGGGCCGTATGGGGAGTCAGCGGCAGGCTGGGATTCCAACCCACCCCTGTCTCAGATCCAGAGTGCTTCCTGCTTTCGCTCTCTTGCCACCTTGAAAGGGACTGCCCTGCACAGCCTGAGCTGATCCCACTGTGAGATGTGCCCCAGGAAGTTCCTCAAGAGGCCAAAGTCTGAGCCTTGGAGCACTGAACTGGGGGTGGGGGGGCGTCAGTGGATTGGGAGTGAGGGCCCTGGGTCCCAGGCCAGGCTCAGCTGGGGGCTTTCTGTGCAACCCCAGCAAGGTCTGCACTTCCTAAGCCTCCATTTTGTCATCTGTAAAATGGGGCTAAAAGGGCCTGCCCCTGAGATGGCTAGGTGGCCCCAGCAAGATGAGGGTATATTGTTAGTACCTGGAACACGTCATCTCCTGCATTCAGCAATTATTTACTGAAACACGGTGCCTCTATATCAGGCACTGTTCTGGGCCCTGAAATACAGTGGCAAACAAGACAAAATCCCTGCCCTCATGGAGGTGACATTCTGGTGAGGGGAGGTAGAAATCAGACAAGTGAATAGTATGTTGGGGCTGCTAAGTGGCTGGAGGGTAGATAATGCAATCGCAACAAGAGTCTAGACTTGATTTTGTTCAGTGCTGGGCCCCGAGTGCCTAGAGCAGTGCCTGGCACATAGTGGGTGTTCCATAAAATGTGTTAAACAAAACAGGGGAAAATAAAGCAGAGTGACAATAGGAGCTATTTTAAATAAAGGGGCCTGGGAAACCATCTCTGAAGGAATCAATAGTGAGTATAACTCTAAAGGAAATTAGGGAGTGAGCCATGCTGATAACTGGATCAAGAATGATCCAGGTGGAGGGAACAGCAAGTGCAAAGCCCTGAGGTGCGAGCAGGCCCAGGATGTCCAAGGAACAGGGGGCCTGCGTGGTTGGAATGAGTGGATACCAGCACCGTGAGATCAGGTCATGGTGGTTCTTTCTGACCCTGGAACAGGTCTGGGATCACCCCCAAGATCCTTACAACCCTTCCCTCCAAAAGGAGGGACCTCAGTGGCCTCCGAAGCCAGGCCCTCTGTATTTCTGAGAGTAATATTAAAAATATTTCACAACCAGTGCAGTTCAGAAGACCAACCGAAAGGGACACTGACCATAAATCACCTGGGGCAGGCCCCTGGAGCCCCCACTGTGCCAGGCTTTACCCCCTTAGTGGCTTGATTGTGTCAAAGTTGGGGGCGGGCACGGGGGGGAGGCTGAGGCAGCAGGAAGGACTTGGGCCTCATAGCGTCAGAGCTATTTAGACCTTTTTGGAAGCATTTCAATACTTTAACAACCGGTAGTACCTTGCCCACGCATTATTCCAGTGGTATCCTGAGTTGGCCCCAGGAGATACAAACAGCCCCGGCTTGACCTCGCCAAGTTCACAAGTCTTTCCAACCCGAGGGCCTGAAGTTCTGTCCCAACTGCCTCTCTTTGATGGGGAGCCGCCAGGTGCTCCCATCCTGCGTGACCCCCCTGGAAGGAGCTCCAGGAGCGAGGGTGGCAGCCGTGCGCTAAGCTCAGCACAGCCGTGGAAGGGCTCCTCTGCCAGGCCCCTAGCCCCTTCCCACGGCCTGCCAAGCCCCCTCCTCCTCACCATATAAATATCCTGGGTGACAAACAGCTACCCCAACCCATCTGTTTCTCTGTACACATTTGTAGCCAGTTTGGAAACGTGATTTATAAATATTGCTTTTGCAGCCAGGGATTGACACTGATGTATGTCAGGCCAGATGGATGGATACAAGGCTGGGTGCAGTTCCTGCCTGGAAGGGTGGGGGAAAGGGGCCGGGGTGACCAGCAGCTTCCCCAGGTGAAGCCAGCCGCTGCCCCGGAGGGCTGCTCGGGACGTTCAGGGATGGTGCCCAGGGATCCCCTTTGGTCCGGTGGTGGAGTGGCACGGACCAGAGCTCTGAGAACATACGCCTCCATGGCCAAAGGCGGCAACCCTGAGAAACAAACATCGCCTCTCCACTCCTCTGTGCTTGCTTGGGAATTTGAGGCTGAGCCAGAGCCAGCCACTCATTTTTCAAATCTGTCTACTTCTCTGTGCTTCTACTACTACTATCCTCTCACACCTCAGACACACATCTTCCTAACTCATCTTCCACATCCACTCTCGTGTTTTAGAGTAGAAACGCCCTTGCCTAGAATGGAGGCTCAGCAAGGGCAGGGACTATGTCTGTCTTATTCATGCTCTAGCTTCAGGGGCTAGGATAATCCTCACATCCAGAGGGTGTGAATGGATGATTTGTCGCCCGGTCTCTTCTTGGCTTAAAACCCACCAATCGATGGCCTCCCGTTGCTTTTAAGAAAATAACCCCAATTCCTTACTATGGCCTCTAAGACTTTCCATGATGAGCCCCTGCCGCACCCTGCCCCCGGTTTGACCTTGACTCACTCTAGCCATCACCTTCATCCCTCCAGTCACAAAGGACTGCTTTAGTTCCTTGAGCATAATGATGCTTCTTCCAACCTCTAGGCCTTTGCATCGGCTGTCCCCTCTCCTTGAACTCATCATTCAGGACTAGGCAATAATATCACTTCTTCCGAGAAGATCTCCCTGACCTCTCTCAGACTAAGTCAGGTCCTCTGTTAGGTGCTCTTCCTGTACTTTTCCTTCTTAGCACTCACCATGGTTTGCAATTGTAGACTAAATTGTGGGTTTATTCAATTAACATTTGTCCCTCACATTAGAATATAAGCTCACATCCAGGAGTATGGTTGGTTTAGCTCCCCACTGTTTTCTCCCTGCGACTAGAATGGTGCCTAGGACATAGTAGTTACTCAATAAAGATTTATTGGATGGCTGGGTGGAGGATGGATGGATGGATATGGGTGGGTGGATGGACAGAGGATAG